CGCCCTCTTCGGACCTTGCCAGGTTTCAGAAATTATGAGATGAGTCAATATCTTATAGGCTGCCATTTTTATGGATGTTCATGGCCTCTGTTCAACCTCTAGTGTGTTATATGTTTAATGTGTATCTTAGTAGGAGTGAGTTCATGGTAGCTCGAAGCATGATTTAGATGGGATAGAGATAAGGATATGTGTATATTTGATGCTCTAGCATGTTTATGTGTTTCAGTTAAAAGTTAGAGATACCTCTCGTTTATATCATGATAGGTTTGGTCAGGTTTATGTGATGTATATGTGATCTTCGATGATTGAGGTGGAATTTATGCTTTAATGTGAATTGTTATATATTATCAAACCAAAAGATGTAATAATTCAAGTGAAAGGAATAAGACTTTATTTTTCTATCTTGTTTAATAAGACCGAGTTGGACCTCGGACAACGTGTTTGATGATATATCGAATGTTTAAGTCTTAAAGTATTGATATCGAGGCTATGTTGTTGTGTGATCATTTTGAGTAGATGAAGGCATGAAAACTCAATTTTTTTGAGCTTCAGTTAGGCTCTGTTTTTGTCAAATAAGAGGATGTTTTTTGGAAAAGTGTTCTGCATGAGATTTGTAGTACTCTGAATGAAGTTTCTGTGAGTTTTGGAATTTTGTGATTTAGAGTTGAAATGGATTTTATATGATTTTTCAAAATTAGACAGGCATGCAGTTTTTATAAACTCAGACAAAAACTTTGACCCTAATTTATAGCTGTTTTTGATGATCTTAACGTGCCAGCATGAAAATGTATTCTTCATGAATCATGTAGTACATGTTATAAGATTTCATTAGGAGCTGAAATCATGCAGTTTGGAGTTTTGGTTGATTTTATATGATTTTTCTAATTTGGATTTATGCCTAGGATTTTGAAACAGTGGCTGTGTGTATGCACGAAAGGTATGCTCTGAATTGATGCCTTTAACGTGATGATATATAAACATTCTCTTCATGACATTTGTAGCTTTCCTTGTGTAGTTTCTGCAGGTTTTGGGTTAATATGATTTGGAGTACCAGTTAATTTTATATAATTTTTCTAAATGAGATGTACACCCAGTTTTTATGAAACCAGGATTCTGTTTAAGTGTTGAATATGTGCTCTGTTTAGGTGACCTAAACATGTTCTTATGAAACTTTCTTCTTCATGAAATTGGTATATTTCTATGTGTAGATTATTTAGGTTTTGAGTTTGTATGAATTAGAGTTGTGTAGCTTGGGCTGTTGCTACTTTACTAAGCTGCGGTATTTTCGAAAAATTGTTCTCTGGTTGTTTTTGCAAACTAAATGTTTTATATTCAAACTTGTTGATAATGTTATAATTTGCCAATGGGCTTCAGAGAACTTGTAGAGAATTGAGTTAGCTACCTTGGGGTGTTTGAATTTTAGTAATATCATGTCTGTAGCTTTGGTTATTGCGCATACACTGAGAACCTGTCAACCTGTAAATCTTTATTTATTACTGCACTCATGTTTTGGATGTTTGCTATATTATGTGCCTTTAAATGACTTTATCTGCCTGAGTGTTCTTCATGAAAGTGATAGAGGCATGAGTTAGGGATATCTTCCAAGTGGTTTCATCATGATATGATTTGTGGACTGAAAGCTACATGCATTTTTAATTCACCATGCATGCTGAAAATTTGTGCTAGTTCATGTTTAGGATTTCAAAATGAATTGTGAATTTTCAAAAAATTAGCTTTTCGTCAATTTTCATGTATATGTGCCCTATATGTCTTAATATGATTGTTATTATTGAGTTAGCTGCAAAGCGAGAGAAGCTTTACGCTAGATCTCGAAGTGTGGAAGCTATAAGTTCAATATGTGGTCGAACTCGTTTAGGACCGCCGACACGATTAGCTACCCGAGTAAAAGCTGTCGACACGGCCGACATTGTTAGTCGGAATGGCCAAGCGAGTTAACCATTCTAATGTTCGGCGATGACCGCCGATGTTAGGATTTTTTTTTTCGGGCAGTGATGCCAATGTTTGATTCCTATGAGAAATTGTAGCTCAACAATAGTGCTTAAACTGTTGTAGTTTGAGAAGTATTGTAAGGAAGCCTTTTTCCTATCTAAGTACCTAGGATATTGAACCGGAAATTGAAATTTCTGGTGTGTACCTTAACTGAACGCCGAACCTGGATGGGTGTAGCCACGTGAAGTGGTGGTCGAGCCGCATGCCCATGTTGGGAGACGTAAGGCCAACTGCAGTGGCCGACCGTTGACTCGCACGAGAGCTGCCGCCGCCATCACCGAACGCAGGAACTCCCCAGGCAATGTGTACGGCCAAACCTCGATCTTGCAGCTGGTCTCTGAACAGGTGCATGCACACGTCCCGGCGCCCCGCTTATGCAGCGCCTGTGTGTGTGTCATCTCTCGGGTGACAGTGCCTTAAACCCCAAACCGAACCGTTGTATAAATCCCTAATCAACGACTCTCGATATGTGAGGCTTGTCGATTAGTTTTCCTTTGTCTTATGCGAGATTCTCTCGAGATAGCGATTTTAGGTCCCTCATCGTTATCGGGCAGTGTCCCGAGTCTCGATGGGAGACTATGTATACTTCGTAGGGATCGAGACAAACGAAGAGTGAGAGAGTATTGTTGTTAGATTGTTAGTATGGAAATATTGAGCATCCCTAATTGTGAGACCGATTCTGCGATAGGAGATTGTTTTCGAACATCTAGTCGATATTTCCTAGACCGCATGTGAGGTGGCTGGTACGGATGCGGGTGGAGTATGCCGTTGTTCTTGTTACTGCCACGCGTACTCAGTCCTATTATGATTCTCGACCAAGTCGATGACTTAGCCTGATTGTTGACTCCACCACCAGAACTCGCGAGGATGCATGACACGTTCTGTGCCTCTTGATGGAGGAAACGTGTGCGTGATATCGGAGTACATGTGAGATGTGACGAGCTGCGTGATAGGTAGAACCCTACCCGTATGGAGGTACCGGTGACCTATTGGCTCAGAGGGTCCATTAGGAAAAGACCGGGAGGGGTACTCGTCAAAGACCAGTGGTAGTTGTCAAGGCAAGGCGACTAGGGAGGAAGGGGACCGAAATTCGGAGGAGATACCTGAATTTCATGTGGTGATGTTTTACCCTCTTTTTCTCGTTTGTATCGTGTCGTAGTTTGTATTTCGAATTCCGAAGACGGAATTCTTTGTAAGGTGGGTAGACTGTAGCGCCCCGTTCGTTTATGGAATAATTGGGATTTTTAATTAATATTTTTGTCATTATTATTATTATTATTATTATTTTTATTATTGTTATTATTATTTGATTTAAATGCCTAATTGTCGAATAAATGCTTAAATGTGTATTATTATTATTATTATTATTATTAATGTGTGATATATAATTTATTATAATAGCCGAAAATCTTATTTTAAATTATCGAGCGAAGCGAGCCATTGTATTTTAGCTAAATAGACCGATAAATCGAGCCCGAGAACCCAGAATCGGGCCTTATTATTTTCAGCCCAAGAGCTAAATATTCTGGCCTTTTTGCCCAAGTATTATCGGCCCGTTAAAGCCGAGAGACCGGCCCGAAGACCCGCTCACCTCAGCCCAGCCGAACCAAACTGACCCGGCCCAGTTTTCCTTCCCTTTTGTGCACGTGTGTGTTTGGAGGACAAGAGAGAAAAGGAAAACCTAGGTTTATATATATATATATATATATATATATATATATATCTGTTACCCTCTCGCTTGCTGAATCTCTCGATCGAACGCCGCAACCATATAATCTCTCTTTCAATCGCACGCCAGGAGCAGAGAAATTTCCCGTCGTCGCCATCTCCATCATCGTTTTTCTCTCTCCTCATCGTGCAACCATCGGCGAAATCCGTGCAGGCCTGACGAGCCCGCAAATCCGACCACCGTTGCTCCTCCGCGCGCCTACATCTCCGGCGAGCTCTCTACTTCGTGAACCAGTGCGACAAGCTTCTCCTCGCCGCGAACGAGAGCAGACGCCGCCGCGCCGCGACACCACCGCAGAAGCCCCTCCGCGTCGTGACTCCACCTCAGAAGCCCTGCCGCGCCGTGAGCAACCCTTCGTGGTCTCTGTTCGCGAATTCCGGCGAGTTCTCCCCTCCGCACAGCACCTCCGTCGCGAAGGTCCCGCGCACCAGCAGCCGGCGACCACCTTCACGGCGATCCCTGCCACCGCGAGCAGGCCCTGTTTTCGGTGAGCGACCACCGCCTGCAACTCCGCCGCGACCAGTCCTTCCAGCGCCGCTGCTCCTCAGCCGTGACCCTCCGCAGTGACCAACAAGCTCCGACGAGTCGTCCTCGACCATCGCAGCAATCCAGCAGGCCGAGAAGAGCTGCACAACCCCTTTCACGAGTCGTTGTGGAGCCTGTTGTTGCCGTGATCGCTAGCCACCATGCGTTTGCCGTCGTCTTTCGTTCGACCGTCACTACGTACCGTGTTCCCAAGAACGGTATCTAGTCGATCCCGTCTCATTTAAATCGTATAAATATTAGTTGCCTATCGTGATTGAATGACGTGATGTGCTCTTTGCGATTTAATATGCGCGACGTTATTTTATATGAAGTCGTGATTTAATATGTGTTTGTGCTTTTGGGGATATCTTCGATTATAAAAAATCGAACGAGACCTCGAAAGTCGTGTAAGTCAGTGGATATTGGAACGATGTCGAGTCCTTGGTCTTACAAGAAGGCCTCGGACGAGAAATTTCATGCTATGAATTAATTTTTAAATTGTCGAGCTTTATTGTCGCTGTTTTGGTGTTTGAATTTTTAAAAATAGCTCGCTGCTCGAAACGACTTGAAATTTTTAGGGTGATGTTCTCTATTCAATACTAGCCTTGTGTTAGAATTTCGTGATTGTTAGAAGCCTGTAGCTATTTTTAATAATTATACTGAAATCTGATCAGAGTAGTGTTAATTGCATAATAAATTCATTCATGAACCAAATGAGCTGCAATTCGAGTATATAATGCCTCTGTGACGTTTATATGTTGTGTTAAAGTTTTATAATTTTTGTACTTGATTTGATATGGTTAATAAATTATTTATCGAATGTGCTGAAAATTGTTTGACTTTTTATAAATCGGTTGTTTGATGAAAAATTCTGAAATTTTGCTGACATTCTCATTTTATGTGTATTATCATGCTGTAAAAAGATGGGAAATTTTGGAGTCCATTTTGATTCGGTTTTGATTTAAATTCGATAAACTGCTGAATCTCATATGAATTTTTAAAAATAGTAGCAGTCAATGTTAAGGGTTGAGATTTTCACACATAGACTTTAGCATGCTGCATGTTGTTTTGTTAAATTTTCAAGTCCTGATTCGTTCATTAAGTTCAAGTATGAATTGATGTTCCCATTTTGTTGATATATTATTCGAATTTTATAAAATAGTGTATTTCGAGTTTGAAGCTGAAAATTTGTGGTTTTACATGTTTTTGGGAGATGTAATTTTGTGTAACATTTCAGAGCTTAAGTCGTAGGGTAGCCTGACCATCTATTTTCATGTGATTAATGATTACTATTTTCGAAACACGATTTTGAAATGAAAAGTTGGGAATCGACTTACTTTTCTTTTTGATGTGAGTTTGACTTGGTCAATTCTTAGATGGATTTATGTGAACTCCCTTATATGGTTTGGTCGAGTTTAGTGCCGAGTCTTAGTGTTCCAACATCCACAGGACTTCACGAACTACTTAGTCGAAACAAGTTCGACTAGGTCTGTTTTGTGTTTTCCGTTTAAAGTCAAGATAGATGTTAATTGTAGCATCTTGACTCAATGTAGGTAATCGAGGAGTCCAGCCTCGACCTACTCCCATTGCTTTGAGTTATTATCAATCCGGAATCCAGGTGGGTTATTCAAAATTTATCTATGCGTATGTGTGATTTATTTATGATAAAAGTTTGGTGTGATCTATGTATGAAAATGAACATGTAGCCTATCGATGTGAGCTTGATGGCCGTCGATACGGTTGTCCCCGTATGATAAGATACGGTTACCCTGTGAGGTAAATCTCATAAAGACCTATGAGAAGGCCGTGTCATTGATGTGGCACGCACTCCCATGTTTCACTGATATGGCATGGCTTAGCTTTGATGAGCATAGATGTACATGAGTGAGTCTTTGATGAGACTATAGTCATTGATGTGGCTAGAGATGTGACATGATTTTATTGTTTATGTTCATGCTGCGACCATACCATTATTATGTTATTCATATGCATAGTGTGAGTACGACAGTTAACTGTACTCATTCCCACCTGCTCGTAACTGATGCAGGTTAAGCAGTCGGCGGGTGACGAGACAAGACGGGTGGTGGTTATGTCCTTTATTATTGTTTTATTAATTATGCTTCCGCTTAGTTCATGAACTCATGTTGAAATTTGAATATTTTGAGTTATGTCGTTTGAACTCGAGAATTATGAATTATCTTTTGATAAGTTGGAACTTAATGAATGCTAGTTTGGTTATGACTTATTATTCGTGTATGATGTCTGTATTTGATGTATTGGCATTTTCGGATAAAAGTTTTTGGTAAAATAAGTAGCGCCCACTAAGTTTTATTTAATTAGGATCTGCAAAAAATTTATTGTGATTTTTATTAAATTAATTCCCTAAATCTTTCAAAATAAAGTGGGGCGTTACAAATTGTTAAAATTGTACTCGGAACGAGACTAGAGTCCGAAGCCAATGAATTTCTCGAGTTGAATAGATATTATTTATCAACCCAAATTAATGGATTGATCTTGACCTTAACTTGATAGATAAAATTCTAAGGAAATGATCTTACATTCTATAATGAGCACTTAACATATAAATTAAATAAATCTTAAATTTCTGAAAGTTACGAATTTTACTTTAAAGTCGAGCAGTGAAATCGTCTTAATATTATAAAATGATCGGGGCGTTACAACCTATCCTTCTTAAAATATTTGCGTCCTCGAAAATACAGAACTAGGGTACTAAATTACTAAGTCAGAACTCATACTACGAACTATATACAAATGTACAAATAAATGTACATAAGTACAACTGAACATCTCAAGACTGAAAAATCTGGATATCTGGCTGACATAACTGATCTTGAATCTGGCAAGCTATATCGTCCGGCCTTGACCGGGAATCATGGTACACTCCGGGCGGCCTTGGCTGCCTCGAAATCCTGGGGAGGGCGTTGGCCTCTCAACTCAGGCGATGAGTAGCTGCGGGAACCCACTTAGAGGTCGTTGCCCTGGGGCAAAACTTAAATTTCTGTATATATAACCCATCTGGGTATACACTTGTATGAGCCAGGGTGGAGACAACTTCCACTATATCCGGGTCATGACAACTCGACCAAGAACGGGAGATACTCAACCGTCCAGGTCCTAAACTTTTCTTACATGCATATCTCTGAAATAACATATACGAATATCTAGCTCTGATCTTGGCCCCTCTCTCTCAAGTGGCTTCCGACTCGTTGTGGCGACTCCAGTAAACTTTGACGAGCTCTATATCTTGGTTTCTTAATCGTCGAACTTTTCGGTCTAGGACTGCTACTGGTTGCTCATCATATGTCGGGTTCTACCCGACATTCATTCTTGCCAAAGTTCACGGCATGACTCAAGTCGTACACGTACTTTCTCAACATCGTGACGTGGATGACGTTATGCACACCCGAGGGTTCTGGGGGGCAATGCCAGACGGTAGGCTGTTATGCCAACTTGCTCGAGAATGGTATAGGCCCTATAGAACGGGGCTGGAATTTCCCTTCTCCCTTACGTACAAAGCCCTTTATTGGCGTGACTTTCAGGAAGAACTTAACTCCTTTTTGAACATAAGCTCCCTTCTATGCTTGTTAACGTAGGTTTCATGTCTGCTTGGCGCCTCTCTCAGCCTCACTCGGATTTTGGCAACCTTCTGCACTGCGTCCTACATCAACTTGGGACCGGGAACCTGATTCTTGTCGACTTCATCCCAATAAAGGTTGAGCAGCACTTGCACCATGCAAAACTTCGTACTGTGTCATTTGGTCGATGAGTGATAGCTGTGTGTGTAGGCAAACTCTACAGTGGGTAACAACTTTTCCCACGAACTACTTCGCTCTAAGACACACGCCCGAAGCATGTCCCGAGCGTCTGGATGATCCCTTCCGACTGGCCGTCGGCCTTTGGTGATATGCAGAGCTGAAACTCAACTTCGCACCCTGCTTAGTGGCACCACTACAAATAGTGAAACCCTGTCTGGGGTTCGAAATAGTCAACACGAGCGTCGTCGTAAAGCTTGCTTTGAGCTCCTGAAAGCTTGCTCACAACGACTGAACCATTCAAATTCATTGACTTTCTCGTCAATCGAGACAAGGGCAGGGCAAACTTGGATGACCCCTCGATGAATCTTCTATATTAGCCAGCTAGTTCGAGGAAACTCCAAACCTCAGTGGCATTTCCTGGGGTTGACTAGTTCCGAACTGCTTTAATCTTTCTTGGGTCTACCTCAATCCCTTTAGAAGTGACAATATGGCCTAGGGAAGCCACTTTGTCAAGCTAAACTTCGCACTCCAAGAACTTAGTGTATAATTTCTCACGTCAAAGGGTCTCCGAACAGTCCTCAAGTGCTTCTCATGCTGTTATGGGCTTCTGGAATAGACCAAGATGTCATCACTAAAGACGATAACAAATCGGTCTAAGATGGATGAAAGACATGGTCCATGAGACCCATGAATACCTCAGGCGCATGGCTCAAGCCAAACGGCATCACGCAGTGTCCGCATTTTATTCTGAAAGCTGTTTTGGCCCCTTTGGCCTTCTTGATCTTCGGTTGATGATAACAGGAACGCAGATCTATCTTGGAAAATACGCTGGCTCCCCTTAGTTGATTGAATAAGTCCTCTATACTGGGGCGTGAATACTTGCTCTTCATCGCTAACTGGTTCAATTGCCGGTAGTCGATGCACATACGTATAGACCCATCCTTCTGCTTGACAAAGAGGATAGGTACTCCCAAAGTGAAACGCTCGGTCGGCTGAAACCGAGACTCAATAGCTCTGAATCTGAGCCTTCAACTCCTGAAGCTCTTTTGGCGCCTCGCGCTACAGTGCTTTCGGCACTGGTCCCGCTCCAGGGACTAAGTCGATTGCGAACTCCACTTGGCTATTGGGTGGTCCTCCTGGAAGCCGTTCCAGAAAACGTCCACGAATTCACGAACTATGGGTATCTCCAAGAGTTAACTTCTCCGAAGTCTTCCCAACGATGCTGACAAGGAATCCCTGACAGTCTTCCCTCTACACGTACTTCGTCGCTTTCACCATGGAAATAATTTGTGGTAAAGTTCGGGCCTTCGACCCGAAGAACGTGATGCGATCTCTCTCGGATAAGTGCAGTGTCACTT